TAAACTCAGGAGTGTCTGGACGTTTCTGGTTATAGACTCCTGCTAACTAAATTGCAGACAGATAAATTGGTTGAGGTAAGTTGATAGTTTGTAATTAATATACAGATAATTAGAGGCATTTTTTAGTTTTATTTAATGATTCAGATTTAATACTTAAATTTAAAAATATTCTAATAAATAGGATTATTATGAAAAAAATTAATATCTGAGACAAAGGAATGAATATGAATATTATATTTAAACCAAATTAAAATATTTAAATAGATATTATATTTAGGATAGGAGGAGGAGGGATTGTTGTTGTTTTGATAGATCTCGTTAATTACTTAATTATTTAATTCTCCTTTATATGCCTTTGTTGGGTCTGAAACTCATAATTAAGGATTCAATATTTTTATGAAGTATAAATGAAAAAAATGGAAAAAAAGAGAGAAAAATTCTAAACGTACATAAAGAAAGGAGCCTAAAAATAGAAAATTAGGGAGAATAGTAATTAAGTATTTTATAATAAAAATAATATAAAAAAAGACTTTCAAATTATAGATATAGAATTTTCAGTTGTATCAAAATTTCAGTTTTAAACATATTCTTATTTTATTTTAGTTCATCTATTGGATCCTTAATTGTCATTTTATGAAATATATGTGTGTATAGCATGTAGCCTAAAAGATATAATCTAAATTACTAATGATTATATTTATGATTTTACTTTATTTTCTAAAATATTTACACATAGAAAAGACTTGTGGGGCGATTGTTTAAAAAAGTATAAAATTTATAATAAAAAATGGTAGAAAATATAAGATCCACCATGGAAAAATAGGTACAACATGAGGCGTATCATTTGTTGCTTTAAAATACCAATGGATATGAAACCTATATTTTGTTACTTATATTTTGTGTTTATACATAATATAATATAATAAATTGTAAAATAAAATACAAATGTAATAACTAATTATAAAATAATATATGATTTATTATACATGTCTCATTTTTTATTAGGTGATGCATGGGCAAAAGTATTTTTTTAATTTTTAATATAGCAAAATAAAAGTCGATGCTTAAATTTTATATCGGGCAATAAGTAATAGATCCAGGAATTTTTACTGTGAGGCAAATTTTTTAATTAATTATGAAGAGTAGAACTTATAAAAAAATTATCTTTTAACATGATTTTAAAATTTCTTCTCATATTAATCAAAGAATACAAGTTTAAAGGTATGTTTGGTTTAAAAGGAGGAGAGGTGATCGGAGGGAGAGGAGAGTTTTGATGTTACCTTATTTGATTTTGTTAAAGAGGAAGGGAGGAGAGGAATTTTTAATGATCATTTGTTTGATTTAGGAGGGAAGAAGAGGTAATAACTAATTTACTATTATATCTCTATACATTAGTTTAAAATTTTTTTAATTATTTCTTGTAGAAAATAATTTTACACCTCCATTTAAATTGCATGATTTCTTAAAAATTCACTCTTATCCTATCATATTGTCAATTGTGAATAAAAAAAATTAAAAAAATAATTATAATGATAACATAAATAACTCCCTTAAATATATAATAAAATATGATGAATTTTAACTTTTTTAAAAAAAATCTAATGAGGTTAGTCGACGTTCGGGAATAAAGCACAATCTGATACGAAAGAGAGTTTTTTTTTTCAACTATGAATATACTTAGAATATTAAAAAAATAAATAAAGGTAAAATAGTTTTAAAAAAATAACTCCCCTTCAAAAAACTTTAATTTAAAGACGAACAATATGAGGGAAGGAGAGGGGCTATTTTGACTCTCCTCTTCTCCAAAACCCTCTAACTAAATATATCCTAAGGGTGGGTTACCATTTGAGGACAATACACTCTAATAAAAAATAAATTATTATTTATATATCTAATATGCATGAACAAAATAATTTTTTAAATATAATAAATTGTTGTTTAAATATTAATTTACATAAGATAATAGATTATAAATATATTAAAATAAATCTGATAACAAATAAAATATTTTTAAATTATTTATATTTATATTTTATTTTTATCTTTTAAATATTAAAATATGGGAAATGAATCTGGTTATATAGATTATATTGAAGCCTGCAAGTATTCGGGATGAGATGACATTCATTTTATATTCAAATTATGAATTGTTATTAAAATATAATAAATATCAACAGTAATAGAGTAAAGGAAAAGTTTTAAATATTAAAAAATGGAGAATAAGTACTTAAGACATAAATATTTTACGTATAGCGTGAAAAAAATAACGAAATAATATAGCAATTATTTAAATCACCTGAGCCCCAACTCTTGTCGTGAAAACGGGGTAGGATATTGATTATGAGGCTCTTCCAATATAAAAAAATAATTGAAAACTCTATTTTAAGTCCATATTTATATGTCATATTATTTATAAAAAAATATTAAATTATATATATATATATATAATAATAAACTAACATCAATATAAAATATAAAATTTCTAAAATGATGATATTTATAAGTCATTAACTCATTTTTTGGTTAATTTTTTCAATCCGTTTCTACACATTTAATTGAATTTGATACCGTACTTTTTTTTTTTTTATCAACATTTCTTTATATATTGCAGTATATGTAATTGTGTAAATATTATAGGCAAAAAAATTGTGTAAATATGAAAAATATTAGTACAATCTATGAGAAGATTTGAAGTTATTATCTCTCATACATGTCATTGAAAAATATATCTACTTAATACTGTAATTATGGAAAGTATTATTCTTGGGGTCAAATGTATCAATGAAATCAATCCTTGTGTAAGGATTTAATCGTGGAATTCATCTCTAGATCTTGATCTTTAAGGAAAAAATTGTTATGCAATATGATTCCAGATTGATTATTTTATGCCAATGACTAACTTTTTAACATAAATTATTTGAATTAATCTACTCAAATGAATTATGAGAATAATTTTTTTCAGTTGAATAAATTTTATTTGTCAAAATAGTTGAGGAAAAAATTTAAATTGCACTAAATGAGATTTATAATGTATTATCTTGTTTTTTTTTTGGAAACTCAACGGTTAATAAATCACTTTTAGAATTATCTTAAAGAATTAATAAATAGTTCCAATTACGTTAGTCAAATCATTTACATCAGAAAAAATCAGATTATTATTTTTAAATATTTGATATTATTTTACGATTTAAAGAGATAATTCAAAAACCATCTTTCAGGAATATCATATTATCTAAAATTTAAAATTATTTTAAGATTTAACGAGATAATTCATAACTCTTTTTTTAAAAATATTATAATTTTTTTTTTTACCAATCATATCCCTGTCGTTGATTTTGAGAACTCTATAAATAAGAGATTATGTAGAAGAGAAACCACACCTTATCTAAAGACGAAAGCATAGAGTGAACGAAAGCATGGAGTGAAGATTCAGACTTGCGGCAACATCAAGTAAGTTTTTTTTTTTTTTTTTGTTATCTTATGCTTTGTTTGCTTAAATATTTATTTGACACCATTGATGTTTTCATCGTCGAAGAGGAACCTCTCCTGTTCTCGTACTCTTTTTTCTTCTTTTTCTATTTATCACATTTAGATCAATGTTTTTAAGAGTTTTGATTTAATATTTTATAAATATATTATTATAATTTTAAATAAATACAAATAAATAAATAAATTTCAACTATTAAAATTTGATTTAAACAATTTAAAGTTATAAACTATTATACTAATAGAGTTGGATTTAGGGAAAGGGGCTAGTATCACATAACGTGTTGAACCAAGATTCAAATCCCCACTAGAACTAGAAGAGATATTTACATTTAGTATCCGATTATACCTTGAACAGGATTTTCTCCAATAGGAGAATACGATAAAAAAATTATGAACTATTTTTAAAATATTTAATAAAGTGATTTTCCTTTTTTTTAATTATTATAGCGTTAAATTGTTTAGATACAAATTTAACAATTTAAATTTATAAATATATTTTTATTTAAAATTATAACAATAATTTTTTAAAATATTAAATGAAAACTTGTGGAAAACTTTAGTCTGTGGGTGATGAAGGCAAGACAGGAAATAACGAAAAAATAACGAAAAAGGAGAGGTTCCTCTATCGCATCCATCCCTCTACCTTCTGAACCTCAAGAAATTTTATCATATGATTTCAAATCATATTTTCTTATATTAAATTTAAATATTTTTATTTATTTTCAATAATATAACACTACAAGGCTACTGTAGCACTCATGAGACCAGGCCCCCATGGTATCAATTGATGATGGTGAGTAAGAAGAACTCAGAAATTATAAACCTCATCTATCTCCTCAGAACCTATTCGTTTTTCATCAACCCTTTCTTTTAATTAATTAATAGCCATCATTCTTCTATAAAGCAAATATTTTCCAACAAAATAGAAATTCGGATTGAGTTCACACTCTTTGTATCATAAAACCAACTTTTTTTACTACGGGAAGTAGAACCCTAATCTCCACTAGATACCCATAAGCAAAGGAAATTGTTCAAACTTCTAAGCTTGATCAATGTAGTCTTCCGGCCACTTCTGCTGAAGAATAGGTGACCCTTGAAAACAAAATAATTATACCAGCTTTATATTAAATGTAAGTGGTACATTCAAATGCATTATTCCACCACATTAGATGAGATGATTTGTTTATTGAAGAAGCAATGCACTGGGACCTCAACAAAAAGTATCCAAACACAAACATGTCAAATGCAACAGTGCATATTCAACATTTAACTTAAAAATTATATCCATTAATTCCATATAGGCAAATTTTTTAGATAAAAGATTTGTTATCTTTTTCATTTACGCAAATATTTTTATTGATTAGATCATTATAGATATTGTCTACTTTAATTACATATTGTTTTATCATATCATTAATTTATTCATTATTATATGTAAGTTCATCTTGTCTAGGACAACTTAATACTTTCCTGACTACAAACATCCTAATTCGACGTCAGCCATTGAAACCATGACTTCCATTCAGGAAGACACTGAAGATTATTTCAACATCGATTTCAGAGTTATTTCTCATGCAACTTCACCTGAGACGGGGCTTCATGAATCAACATCGTTTCCCGTGTTTGAATCACCTTTCTTGATGCCATGCGAGGAATTACTCCAAGATGTTCCCGGATTTCTTCGCAGAAATTTAGCCAATTATCTCAATGAGCCAGACTTTCATCTGCTAGCTTCTCAAATCATATCTTACTATCAAGAGGCACTCCAATATACTATCTTTCAAGCTGCCAATTCTCGTATAATACCTTTAAATCTTGATATATTATTACCCTCTCAATACGAAGCAAATCAAGATTTGATTGAGATTGGTGACGATGATCCTGAGTTGATGGAAGTGTATCAAGCTATAGAGCAATCCATGCAACAATTATCTACAAGACCAACTTCAAATAAGGCAATAGCATCGCTCAAGAAATTGAAAATTTCCAGAGACGAAATGAAGGCAGACTTGTGCAGCATTTGCTTAGAAAATTTTGAAGACGACGAAGATGCCTCAGCAATGCCATGCAACCATATTTATCACCGTGATTGTATTGTAACATGGCTGAAAACAAATCACACATGTCCATTGTGTCGCTTTCAAATGCCTGTGGAATGATTTTTTGTATTTGACATATTATATTCTCAAAGAATGCAAAAAGGGTTTACATTTTGCAAATTGTATCTTGTCTGTGTATGTAATCCATATTTCTCCTTGTGATCACCCACTAGCTATGAAGTTATTGCAACTAACTTGTATTTAATCATTAGTATTTACTCTCTCCGTTCAAAAATGTGAGGCATTTTTTAAAAAGTTGGATATTTAAAAATATAAGATATTTTTAATCTTTCAAGGTGTAATTATTATACTTTTTTCAAAAGTGTCCTTATTGATAAATAATTTTATATTTATTGTAGAGTATTTTAATAAAGATAAATATAAAAAGATAAGGTTAGTTTGAAAGTAAATAACTACTTTATTAGGGGATGAGAGCTGGTTAAAAATTTCTAACATTTTTTAACGAAAGAATATATTTTATTATTTATTAGACTTCTAAAAGCTTTTCATCATCTTATAAATATATTTGACTTTGGGAGAAATATATTTGAAACTTTAACAAAGAACAGTTTTGAAATGTTGTGATGAGAACTTAATTGGATATCCTACGAACATTAATATAAAACACAAGGGAAGTGCAACTTCGCAAAATTTTGCCTAGAAAATTATTTCCTATGAATGTTTGATTTTAAACTTGCTATGAACTTTACAGCACACATCACGCAACAATCCCACAAGCACAAGATTTTTTATCCCCCTTTAACTAAAGAGATAGGATCACAAGGATGGGCGTAACTAGATCAATGGGTTATTGGCAAACTACTCATGAGATATTCCACTCCTTCCCCATTGTGTTTTTCTTTTTTAAAAAAATTAATCATTTAATCCTTTTGACTTAGTTGTAACTTAGTTTTTAAATTTTGATTCAATTTTAACTCAATTTCTAAACTTTAACTCGATGTAATTCAGTCTCTATAATTTTAACTATTTAAAACATCAATCCCTATATTTTAAAAATTAAAATTGTGTTAAAATTTAGAACTAATATTTTGAAATACTAAAATTTTTAATCTTTATAAAGATTAAAATTTAAAATACTTTAAATCTTTATAATTTTATTCTTTTAAAATATATGAATTAATATTTTAAATGATTAAAACTATAGGAATTAAGTTGTAAGAGTTAAGGTTTAGGTAAAGACGAATCCAGAAATCCTTATATGGGGGGCTATAACTAAAGTTTTATTTAAAAGTGGGGAACTAAAAGTAATTTCAGCATTATCATCAACAAAAACTTACTTATTTTTTTAAAAAAAAATAAAATATGGGGTAACCACTGCCTCTACAAGCTCCTAAATTCATCACTAAATTCAAGGACTAAATTATAATTAAATTAAAACTATATGAATTGAATAATTAATCTTACCAAAAAAATAATAATAATTCCAAGAAACTAAATAGTTGGTGTAGATTCGTACAGGAAAAAGTGATCGGGAAGGGATTAGGTCTTTAACGCTTGATTATTTTATGAAGAACTTAACTTATGAAAGGAGATATTTATTGTTAGACTTTTTATCGAGATTTATATAAAAAATACTCTTATTTCACGATCAGATTTAAAAGTGATTTGATTGGAGAAGCATTAATATCTTCACAGAAAAAAAAAATATTAAAAAAAATAATCTTTTTGTTAAGGAAGGGATCAGATCCAAGCAAGGAACATGTGAGTTAGCATGAGCACGTCAGTTTTCAAATCATGAAAATTGTTGGACACCCAGAAAAGGAAAAGTCATTAAAAGCCGTTCTCTCAGAAATTATACAATCCTCATTGTTTGGTTAATCTTTCTTTATCAAAGTTCAATGCAAATTTAAAATTAAAATAGACTAAACTGCATAGAATCTTCAATTTTAAGTTATCATAGGTGCTTTTCCCATGTGGTGTTGGTCGAAATTAAATATTTTATTTTTATATTTGTTGATAAATTTCATATAGGTTTACATTTGTTAGATGACTTTGTCCAAAAAAAAAAAATTGTATAAATAACTTTTTCTTGTAGTCAATTTCATTGAGCCTGGCTTTAAACTCATAGAATTCCAAGCATTGTGCTAAATTTTTTTTAAATTTATTTGAACTAGCTCATTACATTTGGCCTAAATTAGAGTTCTAGCTGTCATTGTTTCCACGTCTTTAATTTGATGCAATTTCTACTGGGTATGATTCTCTTTTTCTCTAAAATCTCTAGTTACGAGATTTGGCTTGATTAAGATTTAAAAAAAGATGTTTTTAGATGTTCCAGAGACTTATTTTATATAGATTTTATAAAAAAATAGATATTATTTTATGTTTGATTACAATAATAAAAATATGATTATTAGTTTGTGTATTTTTAAATTTTATAATATCTTTTTATTTTTGTTTTTATAAGAACAATTTATTATTTAATTATTTTAAAATTTTATGATGTTTTTCATATATAAGGCATTTTTAAAATATTATCTCTTATCTACCCTATCATATTTTTAGAATCTTCGTAGCTTCTTAAAATAATTTAATATTGATTTTTTAAAATTTTGATTATTTTCAAACATTAAAGAAAATATAATAAAAGCTCATAAAGAAAAATCATGAATGGGTCCCATACATCCCACAAAATTCTGAAAAAAAAAAAAAAACTGTCAACTTCGTATAATTAAAATTTTGAATGCATCTGCCCTCAAGTTTTAGTCGAATAATCTCATCTTCAATTTGTAGCAGCCACCTCCACCATATTCTCCACTTGACTCCTTCCACGTGGGCAAGCCACTATCTCTAAAATGTTTAAACTAATAGAAAAAGGAATTGACCAAAAGAGAAAGAAGCAAAGATCAGGATTCTTCTGAAACTACTAGTCTGGAGGAGGAGGAGAATTGAAGGTGTTCGAAGAAGGAGAAGATGGAGAGGCTCCACAGACGCAAGAAGATGAGATTGTTGCAGTGAAATTTGGGGGCAAATATGACTTTTACTTGATATTTTATTGACAGAATTTCAATCAAGGATCATGAAACTTAATTATTAGTAGGTTTAAAAAAAAAACTAACACGTCAGTTTAGCGCATAAAGGAAAATGAAAATAATTTCAATAGTAAAAAATAAAATATCTTTTACTTATTATATAAAATATTAGTATTTAATTTTTTTATTTTACTTATTAATTACTAATATGAGCTGTAACTTATATCTGTTTGTTAGATAAGCCAATTTTAAATTATAATACATGTCAATAATTTATAATTGATATTAATAAAGTAACAAATAAAGTTAGAATATTATTGTTTGTGATTGAACAACTAATATTAAGTCTTGTATAATTATTGACATGTTTATTCATATAATTTACAGCTCATGTTGGTAAATAATAAGTGAAATAAAAAAATTAATAACTAATAATTCTGCATAATAAGTAAAATGTATTTTAATCTTTTTATCTTCAAATTAATTTCTATTTTAATCTCTTGGTGTGAATTGAAATTTCAGATTTTTTTGAGACTTACTAGTAATTAAGCTCCATTCATAATCATTAATGAAATTCTCCTATTTTATTTACACTTAAATTTTAAGTGACTTGATCTTATTTTTCAAAATTTTTGCAAAATTTATTTATCAATGAGTCCTTCGTATAAGATTTATTTGCAATTTTTTTAAAAGTATATTTAAAAAAATAAGTAATTTTTTCGTTAAAAAAATTGAAACAAACGGGGTTTGATAGCTTGCAGCCTTGTACGAATCAGCAATGAGTTTAATTGCATGCTTACAACCTAGATTCGAACAATTCCCAGGCCTTTGACTGATCCTCCAATCGCAATAATTGGTGGGCATGGATCCAATTTTTGACAAACGACATTCAACTTCTCCCACATATACCTCCTCGGACAAAAAAAAAAATTAAATCACATAATTTAAAAAAATTAATTAATTATATTAATTGTATTTAAAATAAAAAATTTTAAATAAAAAATTGAACTATTTTTATTAATTTTATTAATTTTATTAAAGCATTTATTAATTATTTTTTATAACCATAAATGATAAAAATTATGAGGAGTAATTTAAGCAGTTTGTCATATATAATATATATATATATTAAAAATGTAATTTTACTTATATAAAAAAAATAAATTAAAGTGATAATTTCTCCTGTAAATAAAAACGGAGGGAGTAGCATAGTATATGGATGATATGATTCAATTTAGATTCCATGTAAGGCACAGAACTTGCACTCTAGTTATTTAATATGATTCAGCAAAATGCTTGTTTATAGTTGGCAAGGGAAAAAAACTTTGTTTAAAGAAATAAAAATTATATGAATTGTATGTAAAAGTAATGGCTGGTCATTTGCCGTTGGATTATCATTTTGAGTGGCAGTTGAACCAAGATGGCATTGCATAGTATAGATTATTATATGTTTGGGATTACATTCAGCTCAACAGATTTACCCCAAAAAAAAAAATATGAGAGTCATGTGAATATAAAAAACTTTTAAATGGTTTGACACTAATTCTTATTAATTAAATTTCAAGTTTAAGCTTTATGTGTGAAAAGAAATGTCAAAGAAAAACCAACTAAAGTTGGCTTTGGTGTTGGATACTCTTACCGCTTAAATAAGCCATTGGAGTCCATACCCCCACTCATATATATGCATGTAGCATTTTGGTAGGAAGACATCCATTCATCATTCGCATTTTGGTAATTGATGGCCTGTTAAGGAAAGACACAGAACTTTAAACTTGTCCTAAAATTAAAAAATATGTTACACTTTTCCCTGTTAGAGAGTGAGAAGGCAACATAATTTTCGAGAAGCCGTATCGAAACTTTAAAATTAAAATTAAATATTAAGAAGCCCTTATTTGGCATTAATAAATAGCCAATGGTACGTTTTTTTCGGAGATTGGTTTGGTACCGGGGGAAAGAAAAAGAAAAGAGGAGAGGAAAGCATTAACTCTTCTTTATTGGTACAGAAGCAATCTGTCACTGGTCAATTAAGCAGCAGAGTGTCAAGTTGACAATTTATAAACTTGTCAAGAC